GCGTGTATGTGTGTACGCGCGTGTGTGTGTGTACGCGTGTGTGTGTGTACGCGTGTGTGTGTGTACGCGTGTGTGTGTGTACGCGTGAGTGCGTGTACGCGTGTGTGTGTGCTATTTATAGAATACGTTGAACTTTCACTATATCAGATTGCGTTTAATCCTTTAAAATTTGCGTTGGTATGTATAGTTATCACTGTACATAGATTTCGGACGTGAAGAGTACGAGTTGTTCGATATATTAAGATACAAAATTTTTGTAAACTATATGCTAATATATATTCGATGCCAAATCTTGAATTCATCAACTAGATCACAAAATTAAAATGGGGTCATACCTATAGTGCCGACTCCGCTGCCGAACCCAATCAAGAAACGCCCGACCACCCACATCAAGAAGAACCTCGAGAAGGCCATGAGAAGTGCACCGATTATAAAGGTGAGATCATTCAGTAACAGAGTCTTCTTGCGTCCAATTCTATTTGCAAACGCACCCCCTACTATCGCACCGATGAGTCCTCCCAATAAGAAGCTGGTAAGTTCAGCCATGTACTGTATCAGTGACCACGAGTTGGTAGGGCCAGACATGTTTCCTAGTGTGCTTATATCAATTGCTGCAGCGCCATAGTCACCCACGTGATAGCCGAACTGAAAAGATGCGCCCGACGCTGCAACACAAGCAGCGAACACCACACGCCACGTAGTCTTAGCACCCGTAGATGTATTAGGCTTTTGGGGTGGCGGTGGCGTTGACTCTGTGTGGCTATTGCTGTATGCGGTTGTTGATTGCATCGGAGTCTTACTAACATCTTCGTCTATACACATGTGCCCGTTGGGAATGTCTGTGTCATTGTTGAGCAAGGGCGTACTCTCGACATCAAACGCATCGGGATACAGGCGATGTTGGGGGTGTATGTGGAGGTTCCCTGGCGAGGTTTCAAGAACCATATTGAACGCTTATTACCGATACTTGCTGTATTAGTGATAAGGGCGATTCCCCTTATAGAATATGAGGTTACACGGATTATACCATCACTCTAAGTAATATTGGGTGTGTGCTCTGTTCCCTTTGTGTGCTTTGATAGTGATAATAGAACTTCCACGGCCTAATGTATGTGTGCCGTGTGTACTTGCTTTTAACAGTCTGTAATGAATTGCTCTGTTTATACAGATAGTATATGCGTTGAAGCGATTTTGCGGTATATGTATACATCCGTTGAGTGTATTTAGCTGTACTTTGATGATAGTTGCAGACTAGGTAGTTTATCTGTGCTGAATTCAAAGACAAATGAATGTGAAATCCAATTGAGGTAGTGACTTGACGATTGCGTGTACGCGTTATCAATCGTATCCTATATAGACGATACATATATTCAACATGCAATACAAATACAAAGTATCGCCATGCAATAACCGTACAAATTACAAGTGTCTATCTTTTTGGGTCGGTGGGCAGTACTGGTCACTATTGCCAAATTGTGCGGAGACAACGGCAACACAGAGAAAGCGAGGATAAAAAATCCATATGTAATCACATATACTTCTATTGAGGTCTTATAATAATAATCATATTATCCACACGGGATTCCGGCCTCCGGGAAATGAAAAGTTAAAATCAAAATGGGTGTGTTTTAAATTCCATTTGAAGGAAAGATCTGCCTAAGGCCGTGGCGGGTCTAAGCCCTAAAACATAAATTTTCGAAAACTATTTTCCGACAACAAATACTTTACGACCAAGAGTAGTCAAATATGTCGTTATTTCATGTCTTGTTGATTCCATGGAAGTGATACGTTGCAGATGTTGTGTCATATTTTTCTGAATATTTTTTGGTGGGAAAATTATTTCAAGAGATTTTGTCACTTGTCTCGGATCAAAACATCTATTTTTAGACTAAGCCAATGACACTCTCTCGGTATTGTCAACTGCCATCCCTATTAATAAACGGCGGGAAAGGTAAAATATTTTTTAGAGGAGACTTTATTGACATAAGAGAGTATATTGAAATATTTCAATTTATATGTATGGAGTATTTAAAATAGAGCGGCAAACTGTCCTAATAATTGCTATGTATGTATTGCATAATTGCATGCTTCATGAACAAGGGCACTGTTCATCTCGATTTGAAATTGCCAGTGAAAGTGTGTAAAAGTACATAGTTCAAGATTTGATATGCCTGTATTATCACACTATTGATGGTACGTCCATTGCAATATATGATCGTCCACTATATTATGTCCATCAAATACGGTGAGCAACGGTTTGTACCGCTGAGAAACGCCCCAGAGCAACGCTACAAATAAGGTGAAAGGCCACATGCTACGCGCATTAGCACGGCCAATCGACACAGCACCATATACCTGGCAGTTCCCTCTCTTCCCGCATACTAACATTATGGAGGAAGACGATGGCTTTATTTTCACCCGAAAATCACGAACAAATCCCAAAGCCAAAGCACCTACCAATACTGGAAAAATAGCGCCGGCGCAAAATAAGGTATGCCGACACTCACGTTTGAAATTTCATGACACCGATTCTTGACCAGATTAAGGATACTTGATCTCGATTGAGGCGATTTTTTTCGCCTTCCAGTTTGTCAGGTATCAAAAAGGCCTACACGTATATTTGCATGAACCATGTTTTGGAAATATGCTAGCAAGCCTTGGATATACGTATATTCATAATAAATTAACTGATAA